CGCACACAGTCAATGTGTTTTTCCAAGATACCATACCTTACAATATGCAACACATACAATACCTTTTATTTTTTATTACTGAAAATGAGTTTTTTTCTATATTTGATGAAAGTTTGTTCTTCTGGAAACACTTTGCAGTATATAGTAGAACATCATTAGCTTCTCTCATCAAGGAATTGAAGTTTGCATGTGTGAGAACATTAGTATCATCATGGCAATGACCAAGCAGACTGAGAGGAGACAGAGTCTGACCTATATTTTTGGAGAGTCTCTGGCTGTCGCCTTTGTCCACTTCTCGGTTTGTGTTCATACATATAGTTAGGCACAATCTTCTGGTCTTAAAATTAGGCTGCAATGATTAGTCGATGTTAATCGATGACGTCGACTATAAAAATTCGTCCATGTGAAATTCATTGTCGTTACAGAGATGCTGTTTAAGGGAGAGATAGCAATCTTCTTATTAAGATCATTTCTGGTTGTTCATTTCTAACTACAATGCACTACAGGAAGTGCTAGGGGTGAAGAAGAAGCATTCATGCGAGAAGCGGAAAGCAAACGGAGAAAAACAGAACGTTTTTTTTTGTTTTTACAGGTTTTGTATGCTATTTAATCACTAAAAACACTTTTGAGCGGTTTTGAGGTGAGAAATCAACTGTGTAGAAGTGGAATATTGGCAGGTTGAGAAGCCCGACAAGTGCCCACGAGGTTAGTGGTGCAGCTGGCCAACCAGTCGGGCCCACAGCGCGCCCTGGTCCCAGTTACTCAGACCACTGCAGCTGCAACAACAGAGCAGCAGAGGCAAGGCCACAACTGTAAGATGGTTTCAATCTGAGAAAGGGTTTAAAGTAAATCACCATCAATGTACCCTACAGAACATTCTCTGCTTATAAAACTTATAAGCACTTTGGAACTAAATAGACATTACATTGTTAGTGTACAGTTGTGGTTATAGTACTTTCTTTAAATTTGCTTTTTTTTATATAGTTCCAAAAGCAAAAAAATCTTTGTTAAACGTTTAAAAGTTTGTATAAATCAGTGAATTTAGGAGTATTCAACGCTGTCTTGTCTTCTTCCCTGGTTTCCCCCTGGCGTTGATACTGGTGTTCATTCTGAATAGTTGACCTTGTTCACTTAATGGTAAAATTAGCTGGTTAGGTGTGTTGGAGATCAGTAATTCACTTGAAAGATATTTAATTAGTTAAATGGTTTAATTAGGGTTAGGGGAGACAAAACTAATCGTGACTAGTTAACTAATCGAATACATAATCAACTGATTTGTCGACTACGAAAATAGTCATTAGTTGCAGCCCTAATAATAGCACTTTAAACTGCCTAATTTAATAAATTGGACAGATTTACTCCAATGACTCGCTCATGCTCAGTATACCGAAGCTTAAGGACTGTCTTGGATATTGAGGTTTATTGTATTATTCTTTCTATTGTTTTCCTTTTGGTGTATTTGACCTCCCTGCCCAGGGACTACAGATGAAAAAAATGAGAAAAATCTGGCATTTTTAGATGGATGCAAAAGCTAAAGGGGTTCATTATGGTGCTTTGTCCCCTTTTAAATAAATTAATAAATAATGTAAAATAGTAGAAATGAGATAAAAATGAAAACTACAAAAAGGTACAGAATAAAAACCTACTGAACAATATTATTATTAATAATAATAATGTTAATAAAGTTAAAAGAGTACATATAATGTATAAAATCTAGTCAAATACAAAGTGCTAAACAAGTTTCTTGAAAGTCAAAGCTAGTTTAAAGCTAAAGAAAAAAAAGTGACCAAACTGCCACTAACTACATTGCATTTTGGAGGGAAATGCAAACATCTAAATACACAACACAACAAGCTGCTTCAGCTAAACTGAAACTGCTGCTGCTTCAGTCATTATTCACAGTTATTATTCTATCAGCTAGTTCCCGATTAAAATTTAATTTTTTACTATTTTCATTCAGTAAAGTTGTTGTACCGCTGAGTTCAAACTAAACTTCCTCCTTAGTTAAGACTCTTACTATTTGATCTTTGTTGTTCCATGGTTTAGTAATCAGAAGCATACACACTCACTAACACAAACATATAGTCCTTAAATCTGTGAGCTCAGTTTCAGGACGTGCGCACGTAACAGAAAACATCTTGTTAAACATCCTCTCTGCCGTCTAATCCTCACTGATCTCATGATTCAAAGCTCGCCGGCTGTTTGTGAATCAGCAGTCTGGAGTCTGACAGGAGACTGTTTTCACGGGAGCTGATTCATCTGTCTTTCGTGAGATTAAAGCCGAGATTAAAGCCACACCGTGGAAAGATTTTTATGTAACGCAGCAGCTGTTTTATCAGAGTGAGGCTGACGCAGAGAAAAGGGTTTCTTCCACTTTAATAAGATGCTGCTAACTGAAGCTTCAGTCGGTGATGTTCCCACCAGAGACTGATTTAGCGGCAAATGTTTCATTTAATATTATTATTTTAACCTTTGTTTAACCAAGAAAAGACTCATTGAGATCAAAACTCTCCTTTATATGAGTATTTCAGCCAAGACAGGCTGCAGACATAGAAAACTATTTACAATGACAATAAATAAAAAACATAATCGGGTCATTAAAATGTCAAATTTATGATTAAAAGTATTAAAGTGTACCCTAATATTGTACAAATCAAATGTAGAAACATGTAGGCCTACTCATGCTGACTAACTTATGTCACCTGCCTGTTGCTGTAACATCACTAATGTGAATAGTGAAATCTAACCTCTAACGTCGCTGAACAAAAATGCCAAACTGCTTTTTAGAACTCTGTCTCCTAAAATCTGTGTTTATCTACCAGATCATATCATATCTCAAGCATATGGCTCTTTTAAATAAGGCGGGGCACATTTAGGAGGTAACAGCTGTTATTTCAAAGTGTTAGATACATATTTAACCAACACGTAATATATATTCAGATCAGTCTCGGTATATCGATCAGGATTGGGTCAAAAATCATTAAGACATCTCTAACATTTACCAGTGATGAGACTTCTTGAGCTGAGGCTGGTCAGATTGATTATCGGCCCACAATGATCATAATCTTAAGGTTGGCGAACTGTTTTACTCTATGGACTAAAAACACAGGTTGGATGTTTGTATTTACACAAACAACAGATGAATTTCTGTGATACGTTTAGATTTTTCAAAAAGGTTAAACTGCACTTCCTCCATGACTGTATATCACATCCTCCTCTGTCCTCTCCACCGGCCGCACCCCCAGCACATGGTCCACACCCACAGACAGAGGATTCAGCTCTCAACCCCGGCTTACTGTTATAAATCATTTACAACAAAACCAAACGTTGTGTGTTGCTGTTTAAAGTCAGAAGGAGGGTGTGTTCCTGTGACTTAAAATAAACGGTGGAGAGATCGATATGGAGAAAGAAAATACAGCCACGAGAAACACTGCAGTCACAGAGGAACAACAGGGTGTGTGTGTGTGTGTGTGCGTGTGTGTGTGTTTGTGTGGTTTGTGTGTCCCGGGGGTCTTCCAGCCCAGCCCCAGTATGAATAATATATCACAGGGGAGGAAGATGTGTTGGAGGATCTTCTGTTCCTGGTTGTTAATCTTTCCTTTTCTCTCTCTCTCTCTCTCTCTGTATCATGTTTCTGAACAAGAAGCAGCAAAAGGTACAAAAATAAATAAATAAATAAATAAAATCAAACTCAGTCGCGTGTTGAGGTCGTAGCAGCAGCATGAATCCTGCGTGCACCGCCGAGAGTGATGCAAAAGATTTAATTCAATTATGCTGAAAAAATTAAGCAGTTAGAACACAGAGAATTATCTACTAAGAATTAACCGTTAATATAAAATGAAATCAGAGCACTGCAGCCCGATTTAAAGGGTCAAGATCAAATATAGAAACTCTGCAGTCTAATTTGTTGTCAAAAGGCTTTTAAAAGAGATCGACTGAAAGCAATCAAGTATGTTTAAAGATAATTTCCACTGAAAAGATGATATATACCCACTTTATAAAATCTTATTTTTGTGTCCACGAGACTTTAATAAGACGCTGCAGATTCTACAAATGTTTCTTAATTGAAGCTTCAGTCGGTGATGTTCCCACCTGAGACTGATTTAGTGGCAAATGTTTCATTTAATATTATTATTTTAACCTTTGTTTAACCAGGAAAAGACTCATTGAGATCAAAACTCTCCTTTATATGAGTATTTCCGCCAAGACAGGCTGCAGACATAGAAAACTATTTACAATGACAATAAATAAAAATAATAACAGGGTCATAAAATGTCAAACTTATGATTAAAAGTGTTAAAGTGTAATATTGTACAAATCAAATGTAGAAACTTGTAGGCCTACTCATGCTGACTAACTTATGTCACCTGCCCTGTTGCTGTAACATCACTAATGTGAATAGTGAAATCTAACCTCTAACGGCGCTGAACAAAAATGCCAAACTACTTTTTAGAACTCTGTCTCCTCTCCACAGTTTAAGTTTGATTTACACACTAAATCTCTTTAAACAGTGTGTCCTCTTCCTGTACAGCCATAAAACCCATGTCAGAGAAGATATGAGTCAACAAAAGTATTGATATACTCATCTGATATACTCAGATTTATGAGCAATGCTACGGTAGAAAATTGATTTTGCCTATATGCATGGTGATAATTATACTTATATATATATATATCTCTACTGTGTACTCCATTCAGCTAATTTGCTATTATATTGTTCACTCTATCACACCAGTGTTTATGTGGAATTGTTTTGCCTCGTCTCCGCTCATTCACGTGTGAATCTCAATTTCAAGGTTGAGAAATTCTGCTCTGTAGACAACACAAATATGCCGCTGTCTTAAATGTTTATGTATCCCTTCGCTCTGGGCCAGATGCTCTAAGCCGCCCAGTGTGGAAGACAGACCTGCAAGAGAGAAGCTGTTTTTCAGCAGAGCCCAATCATCGCTTTGATCCTGAGAAAAGAACTTGCATATTGAAATTAAACAGAGTGGAGGAGGTAGAGTCGACTATCTCGAGTACAGACTTCAGTGGACCTTTAGACGCTGTATGATACAGCAAGAAAACTAATGAGAGATTAAATGGGGAAGTGTCAGAGTAAAGCAAAGACTGAGTGGGAAACGGCTCCTAAAATCCTTTCGCCAGTCGTGAAATTCATGACTGAAAAAGATGAAGCATCAATGAGACAATTTGATAAGTGGGTTGAAATGGGGTTTCCGGCAAATGGAAGCTTTAGTCTGAGAACATTGGACCAGTTCAAGACCATGTTGGAGAGAAAGGAAAGGAGAGATGCAGAAGAGCACGCAGGCTTGTCCAAAAAACAGCAGAGGAATAACCTTCCATTCAAAGCAGACTGGAACGCATATAGTGCTTGGAGAGTGGAGGCCGAACTGAGGGAAAGGAAAAGACTCAGAGGAGAAAGACGCAATAGAGAAAAACTGGATAAGAAGGAGAGAAATAAAAAGAAAGACATTAGATCACCAGAACAAACTAACACACTTTATCCTCCTTTGCCCGAGGCATGCAAATCACAGAGTCTGTTCTGGCTGGATCCCGACCTGGCCTCCGCTCCGCCTCCTCCTTATGCTCCAGATCCAGTCCGGGTACCAGTCCAGGATTTAATCCAAGCTCCAGAGCCGAAAGAAGATAAAGTCCTTGCTGCTGCCGAGCCTGCTGCCTTAGGGCAGGAGCCGTCCCGTGAGAGCGCTGACCAGGGCCCAGACCCCGCTGTGAGACCCGCGTCTTCCATGAACTCGTACAGAAGAAGCCCTCCGCCGTCAGAACGAGATCAATACGAACTGAGACAAGGTAAAGCCGATATCCTAAAGAATGAAAGCGCAGAGACTGCAGGGACGGGAGGGCCGACGCTGGATTTCCGACCGTGGTCGGAAGAGGACATTGATGAAGCAATGGCTTACGTGACCAGCCCGACTGAAGACTTGGAGAGCTTCACAAAGCAGCTGGAGCAGTTTGCTAAAGAATACAGGCCCACAATGACTGAGCTGAGGCGACTGATGAGCAAAGTGCTCAAACACGACTTTCACAAAGTATCGGCATACTTCACTCCAGATATACAAGGCTGCAGACTGAAGCACGCCGAGTACAGCAATGGCGACAATGCCCAGTACAGACTGGCTATCACCGGCCTCGTTATTGCCTGCCAATCTGCTTTCCCAGTCCAAGTAAATCTATCCAACATCACCACTTTGGCGCAGGGCTCAACAGAAACCTGTAGGGCTTTCCTAGCACGCCTGACTGAAGTCTTTGATCTCTATAGCGGTCTAAAACGAGGACAGATGGGGGTAACTCCGATGCTCCCTTATGAAGTGTATCTGAAAGAATATTTTCTGGGCCGGATAAAGCTAGACATCGCTGCTGAAGTGAAGAGAAGTTGTATTTCATGGAAAACAGAGTCACTTCAAAGGATACTGGAACACGCTATACATGCAGAAGATCAATTAGAGGCTAGAGAACAAAGAAAGAAAATCCGTCAGCAGAAGAAACTGGAGAACGCACTACTGACAACGCATAGATCCCTCACAGGCCAAAGACACGAGCCTCAGCGGGGACGAGGTGGACAGCGAGGCCATTACGATCCATGTGTTTGCCACTGCTGTGGGAAAACTGGACATTGGCGGGTGGATTGTCCGAAGTGGAAAGGGAGCATATTCAAAGGCGGACTAAGAGCGGGGAGAGGAGGCGGGACGGACCAGCCTGTCACACACACACCAATGGGTGAGTCTCCAGCTACAATATGACAAAATAATGAATGCTATAACACACATTAAAGCTTAAAGTGACATTAGTAAACCTGATCATGTGATATTTGTAATGTACACAGACGAAAATTATGCATGTAGAAAGCTGCCAGAGGCCACTGTGTACTTATATTGAGCTTTTTTGCTATTATAGTGTTCACTGTACCAAGTCAGTGTTTATGTTGGAGTGAATAGCTGTGGAATTGTTCTGCCTCGTCTCTGCTCGTTCACGTGTAAATCTGAGTTTAAAGGCTGAGAAAGGCTGTAGACAACACAAATATGCCGCCGTCTTAAATGTTTATTCTCTTGTCTGGATCTAAAGCTCTAATCCTTTTTTTTTTTAACACTCCTTTGTTCATTTCTCATTTTAATCAATTCAAAGTCATAATATATTTCATCATACTGTGTCACAGTTAAACGTGACTTTGGTTGTTTCCCATGTGTTCCCCCCTTTCCTGCGATCTCTTTGTATGTGTTTCTGCAGGTGGCACCTGGCTCTCCTCCACACCTGATCCAAATCACCTCTGCTCTTGAAATACTCCCGGTCTCCTGTCACTCATCTGCAGATTGTTTTTGCCTCCTCGTGGTAACGTACTCTCAGCCCAGAAACCTAGCTTTGGTGTTGTAGTCAAGACCGCACAAACCAAGTCAAGGCCAATACCAGAGTTTATCGAGACCGAGACAAGACCAAAACTTTTAAGGGCTGAGACCGAGTCGAGACCAAGACCGAGGGAGGGCAAGACCGAGTCGAGACCAAGACCAGTTCCCCACGTTACATGACACAACATAAAGTGTGGAAATCAACTAAAGCATCTTTATTCAACACTCCTTTTCCATGATGACCATCACCTTCACACTAGAGCTGTGGTGGATCAACTATTATGCATGAGTTAAATTAAGTAAAATCTTTTTCTGTCCATTTTCCTCAGTAAAATAGATATCTTAATAGAAAAGTTAAGTGCTAATTAATTTGTGATTCAAATCAAACATTAATTAAACAGTTGGAGTGCGTGTGAAGGGGGGGGGCAGTTGTTAACGGGAACACCACATTTTTAATCAGGGTTACTGGTTGCATTTGAAGCAATAAGTTTTACATCCAATCAAAGTTAGGATGTTAAAAAATAAATCAGACAATGCAAAAGCAATTTATTGATATTCCAAAAGTTATAGTCTTGACTGGTCTTGAAATAAAGTCCCGAGTCCTCAATGTTCGACACCGAGACAAGACCGAGTACAAATGCGGTCGAGTCCGAAACGAGACCATAAAAAAGTGGTTTTAAGACCGGTCTCGAGTACTACAACACTGCTAGTTGTTGATGTTTTGTACTCTCTTTTGTTCTTTGTTGATTCGCTGTTTGCTTATATGAACTTTTGTTTTCTTTGCTTCAGAGCCTCGTCTCCAGTGCCTCCCTGTGCTGTACTCCTCAAACCACTACCAGCCCACTACGCCTCTTCAGCCTGCCTGCGATCGTCGGCCTCGATCCCTCCTCCACTACCCCGGCTTCTTTTTGTGTTGTTCATTAAAATACCGTTTTACTTTGCAACGAGTCGGGTCCACTTCACTCACTAAAAATATATTCTATAACCGTTAATATTTTTTTTTAAGTATGATTTTAGTAAAAGTTTTAATTGTTAGGAATTTGATACCAAAACAACACTTATTATTTAAATTTAACATTATTTTTAATGGATAAATAATTTCAATTATATAAAAATGTTTAGCCTCAAAAATCTATATCTTTTTCTTCTTTTACTTAAAGCGCTTTCCTGTTTATTTTGTTGTAATATTTTCTATTTTCATTTGATATTTAGATGAATATGTTTACATTAAATAGGATGCAGGAAGTCTTAACAGACATGAGGACTCAAAATTTGATAGTTTTGAAAATTTGATTACTTTCTAATTGAATCCTTCCCTACAAGGCTTTTACATGTATTGATTAATTAAATAATATATATATTACGACGTGTAAAACATGGTTGAGACACTTTATGAACACACCTTTAAATAATTACTAGCATTCTATCCATTCCTGTGCAGCAGTTTATCTCTACATTACATTAGATTACATTAGCACTCTTCACTTTCCAGCTTGGATTCCCATCGGAACCAAAACAAACCATTAGTGGGTGGAGGCCGTGTTTTTTTTTCCCTGTGTAATTATGGGTAATATTACTGCACAGTATTTCCTCACAGACTACTGACGCTATCAGCTGCACATATTCTGCAGAACAATTTCAATCACCTGATGCGTTCAGTGATGATTAATGTTCCAAGTCGCTCTATCGGAGCTGATAAACGCTTCACTCTGTGTTTTCTCCAGAAACTGACTGAGATGATAAAAAGAACTAATACAGACAGAGAGAGAGAGAGAGAGAGACGAGGTGAAACCGAAGGACGTTCTCTCATTAAGACTGATTATTTTGTGAGAGAAATGCGTAAAATCTAAACTCTCGTGGTGTTTTTAGCGCTGTGTGAGTCATTTTTTTACATTTCATTTGAGGTAATATTTTTTCCACTGATATCTCAAAATTGCTTATTAAAGCAGTTTGACATAAATAGGATTTTACATAGATCTGAATTAATTTTGCCAACAAAAACTTAGATTAAAAATGTTTGAAGAGAGCTAAAGTCTCAAAATGTTTGTCACCGATTAAAAATAAAAGATGAATGTGACAAATTAACTACTTAACTGTGTCACAGACTGGCTCAGGTAATGTGAAAGAGTTTAATTTAACAAACTAAAGTTAACAAAAATTAAGACCGAGGTGTGCAAAGCAGCAATGGCAGTAATGCATGGATGTGTGGCATTTGTGCTGTGTAGGCATTTCTGTGCAAAAAAAGGTAAAGGAAGGGAGAGACTGAACTGAATACTTTAAAAACCCACGGGCCCAGGTGAGCTCAATCAGCTGACGACCGTCCAAGCCAAGGGGTAAAAACAGTTTCAGACTTTGAAAACCGCTGATCCAAAGTAGGCCTGGGCGAAAAATCGATTGAATGAATTAATTCGAATTTTTTGTTGCGGGCGATTTAAAAAATAAGTAAATCGAGTTTTTGTGTAATAGCACATTTTTGGCTCCCCGGGGTTTCCGTAGTGTTCGTTTCCCATAGCGACAACATCATACACTAAACAGCAACAGCAAGCGACAAAATGGCTACCGGTGAGAGCGGGAAGTTTGTTCCCAAGAAAGGAATAAAGTCATCTGTTGTTTGGAACTGGTATGGGTTTGCTGCGACAGATGTGGAACAACAGACACCACGCTGCAACATTTGCCTAAAGCCTATCGCAGTGAAAGGCAGCAGCACCACAAACCTATTCCAACACCTGAAACAGAGACATCCAGCCGAATATGAAAAATGCCAGTCTCTCCGCGATGAACAAAGCCGCACTGACCAACAAACCTTATTGCTTTCCTTAAGTAGGGGGGGAAATCGGAAAAAATCGTAAATTGAATTAAAGTAAATAAAATCGGAGATTTTATTTTTAGGCCATATCGCCCAGCCCTAATCCAAAGTATTATTTTACAACCTGCAAGCATCTGAATAATCACCTATTGTGGCTAATTGCTCACAACTATCCTCTACAGAAGATGATTTAGCTGCTCGGTCTGTTGCACTAATAATCACCATTAATATGACAGTTTTGCCTTTAATATTAGTTAATGTTCACGCTTCAGATCACAGATTTGTGGACTAAATTTATCTATAATCCTACTAAAAGTTAGACAATAAGCAGCAACAAGATAGCTGGAACAAACAACAAGCACGCTGGCAGGCCGACATTTACAAAAAGGTACGTTTAATGTAATTGTAATTATCAAGAACTTATGTAACATTAAAATTACTTCTAACTGACCTAAGTGCAGGATTTGTGTAGGCTGTCAGAGATCAAAAATGTTATCACGGTAAAAAGTTCTTATCTTTCAATATAGATAATTATCACGATAAATATCAAATTGTTATTTCTTTCGAGTTTAAAGGCAGATTTTTGCTTCTCAGTGAGTAAGTTGAAGAAACCTGATGGTTAATTGTGGTTTAAACTCTTCTTTATGGGCAACACTTGATGCCAAACAGTGGATCACTTCACAAATCTGAGGTAGAACATTCAAAACAATTATGATAAAATCTTTGTCAACAAATATGCATTAGTAAACATAAGTAAAAAAACATAAGTAGAAGCTTTTTTCAGTCCTTTTTCCTCAACAAAATAAACATCTTAACAAAAGAATTGTCCTAATTCGTGTATGTTTCAAGTGAATAAAATCCAACATTTATTGAATATTTATTGAACATTTGTTATATTGTTATTGAAAAAAATACATCGCGACAATTATTGTTTTATTGTCCAGCCCTATTGCCACTATGTGTGGACATAAGGGCTCAGATTAGGGGTGGGATGATACATTTGGGTCATGAGACGTGACAATGCATCAGAAAAAGACAAGAAGATTTCTAGCACTATTTAGATTAAATATGTGATGCAGAAATATATGTGAGGGGGTTCTGGGGGGCCTCCCCAGAAGATTTTGATCATTAAACTGGTAATTTCCTACATGCTGGAGACATTTTCTGCTCCAATTTACGGTGGAAATGTCTGTTTTTACATGAGGGCAAACTATATTGCATTTCATGTTTCTTATTGTGCAAATAAACTTTATCTCAAAGCATTTTCATTTCTTAGTTAACATTTCTTGGTGCAAGCCATTCCAAAATGTGGTGGGGACATGTCCCCAGCGTCCCCAGTGTAAATGACAGCTATGCATGTAACTTACATATCAGCTGCTCCTTTCAACCTAAATGCAGAGACTATATACTGTATGTCCACAGTATGTACACTGTGACTTACACAAAGAATCACATCAAATACTGCCTGAACTAGTGGACACTGGTTGTCTTTATCGCTGAGAGACACGGGTAACTTTGCCACTGTCATATTTCAGATGTCGGAGCGTCTTTGAACGCACCAACTGTAAGAGTTTTTAAATCGTTCAGTGCTTTAGGCTACTGCATGTCGACAAACGCAAACTGCCATGTAAGAGTGGTGAAATGTTAAGATGATATGTTACCGTGTATACGTCAAACACGGACCTGCTTATCCTCTTCGGAGAAAAATAGGAGGTAACCACAGACTGTATATAAAAAGGTGGTAACTTGAGGTGAATTTAGTTTAACTTGAAGAAACACGAGGAGAATCATGCAGAATCTGTGCATGAGTGTGTTGATGCAAACACACTCTGCTCTCACACACAGTTTCAGAGGACATGAAGGTTGTTTATTTAACCTGGACAACTCTCATATGATGGTGGAGGATTAGAACGGTTTTCTGTGGGAAACGCTGATAAATGCTAGTGGTGTGCCAAAATCAGCCCATCATATCGATACATAATCTTTTTTTAAAGCGCTTTGACGATTAGCTCAATGCTAACACATAATGGGAATCTCCATTAATGTGCTAACAGATATTAGCATTGCGATCGCGAAAATATAATCTTAACATAAACTACACATTACTGCTCACTTCACTGTCTTGGTCTGCTACTCTGCTGTTTCAGCACTCCACACTAACCAGTTATAGCAACCCCAAAGGGTCAAAATTTAAACCCAAAATTGTCAGTGGCCTAAAAATACAGCTTCCACTAGGTGGAGAAAGGGCAGCGCAATGCTGTGTAGCTGAATAGTTATCAGTAAAATGTGACGTACATATTGGACTTGTATCGTGATATTATCGTTATCGTGAGCCATGTATCGTGTAGGGAAAATCAAGGGAAAACCCTCAAACTCATTAACTGATTCAAATCCCTCCCTGTTCCTTTACATTACCGAAGGTCTCTGTTGTCCAACTATCCAACATCTTCACTCTGTTTGCATCACAACCGCACATTTTACCTTTTTAAATTCACTTTCTTCAATTTAAATGAGATCTGATTGTGTCTTAGTGGCTAAATTTAGTCAATAACTCACTGACTGATATGATTTTAGTTGATTCAACCCTTCTTGTAATTCAATTAACTTCATTAAAACATGGCAGACAGGACAGAACCACAGATAGATTACATATATTACAAAATGATACAAAGCAAAATAAGACAAACAAGAAGAGAGAGGTCAAAGTGAGATGTTAAACTGCAGATTGGGAAAAGTAGCTTCCAATAATTTTATGTATTTTCCTTCTGAGTCTGGAGCACTGCCAATATGATCTGTCTCAAGACTTAAAAACCTCGTTCTCCAGATAATCAGGAAATTATGTTTTGCAAGAAGAAGAAATTTCTGTGACTGAATGATAAAAAATAATTGCAGTTTCTGTAGTGCATATGTTGTCAAAGGTATGAAAAGAAATATATTTTATGGTACAGATGTTCTTGTTTTGGTCAATTTCTACAAAGACTTTACTTAACATTTAAACATCTTAGGCTGAACAGGTATTTATTCTTGAAACAAATGCACTTGTTCACCTCATCCCTACTTTGCCATGATGGCGGCCGAACGTCAGAGTATTGTTGTCAAACTACAAGTTATGTTCATCTAACAAAAACAACAACAACAGGGAGAGATCAGAGTACCGTACTGTGTCACACGGGTCACAAAAGTCTTAAGGAAGTCCGGAGGAAAACAGGGTGATTTATAGGTACAGAGTAAAGCCACAGCTGAACCCGCTG